ACTAGGAAAACAGAGGACGAAAAGTTTCTTTTTCTAGAAGTAATAATCGTGACTTCAATTGACAAACAAAGACATAATTAAATCGAATCTTGAGAGCATAACGCACATTTGCCATACTTTGTAAAGAAGAATAATATATTTTTTTCTTTGACTACGTTAACTTTTTCTCTTATGGAGTTGTGTGTCACTCCTTACAGCATTCACAGTTTACACATCATACGTAATCACAAGCCCATAAATCATATTGAAATCTATGGAATATATATTAAAAGGATAATTGTGTCGAACGTGTTTATTTCAAGATTAAAATCAGACACAAATAATGAGAATAATAATGGAAAGATGACACTGATATTGACGATGGTGCTTGGCAAAGTAATGCACTTGAGCCCAGAAAAAAAAAAGAAACAAACTGCAAGAAGAAGAGTACATGTGGCTTTGAACGACTCCTGTAGTACTTTATAATCTTGCCTTGGTTTTGAAAAAAATATTGCATGCATAATAGTAAGCGTAAATTATTCTAGCATGATATAATATGCGCAAGGATTTATTTCTATATTTGTCTTACAATTAACTACAAGATATTTCCTTAATGTACAAACAGTTTGAATTGTTCTTTCGCAATATTTGGGCAGTTTCTAGTTAATGTTAATGTATCGCCTAAATATTTTTTAACAATCTTAAATCCTTAATTAGTAGATAGTTAGGGAGAAGGAAGAATACTTTTCGGACATGATGTCAAAAAGTTTCCGAATTCTTACGAAATTTACAAAAGGAGTGAAAAAGTTAAGTTACCCTCGAATTGCGATGGTAGAGATCGGCGAGTTATGCATATGCAAGCATACACAAATGCATTTTTGTTCTCACTGAACAAATGTAGTACAAGTTAAGTATCATAGCCATTGATAAGTCATAATAATAAAAGTGAAAGACTAGCAATAAGAAAAGACAACAAACACCGATATGTATCAATATGTATGTTATGCTGTAGTGAAGAACGGGTTTAATTTAGGAAAAAGATAGAGAGACTTTTTAAGTGAAAAAAAGAAACAGATAAGTGGTCATTGGCGCCAAATTGTCACAAGTTTTGTACTTAATTGAAAATTTGTGTATAATGCCTTAGCTGGGACAGCATGGGACATAAATAACGATAATTTGTTATTGATTTCTTAATGTGTTTGTACGAATGCATATCTTTTTCTTTCCTTTTCTTTTATTTTTTTGTTTGTCTGTTTCGAATAAATCTTTTCATTACCAACTTGTTCGCAGGCAATGTTTGAACATGTATTTAATTTAAATTCGAAAAAAAAAGTTTGGGATTCTAATGATAAATTTCTTATCAACGCATATATTGCATAAAGACTATGGGGCAATTTAAGAAATTAATAAAGAATAGAAGAGAAAGTTCATATATTACTCCCACGAAGGAACACATCTGAAAAAGGAATTTTTGTATTTATGTATCAATGAAAGCTGCGGTATGTTAATTTTATAACATTGTGTGCAACAGAGATATGAAAGCATCATATGTTAGCCATCGTATTCACCGCACTTGGCCTTCCACGACTTTTTCCTTTTCCTAAAACTGAAAAGACCCCTGAAAGGACGGAGATTTGACACGATTAAGGAGATAAAGACCGAAACGTTGGACGAGCTCAAAGCCATACAAAAAAGCGCATATAAGAAGTACTGCAAGTATTGGAAAAGGTATTAGCACAAATGTATTATATCGAAGGGGGACTACTTTGAAGAAGACAACGTAGATATTGATAAATAAATGAAAATTTTTCGAGAAAAATACAAGTCACCTTTTTTTGAACACACCTCGTATAATTCTGAATTGATGATCATTGACGATAGTAGGTCCGACCAAAGTTAAACTTGATTTATACCTTCTCTGGTTAATTCAAAATATCAACATTGAGAAGTGGAGTAAACGATTTACAATGCACTTTGTATCATGGAAACAAGCATCTGCTTTCTTTGAGGTAATGATTTACAGATGTTCGTCATGTTAGTTGCTTTAAAAATTTATTAAAAAAAAATTTTTTTTTAATTTTTTTTGTTCTTTAGTATAAAATCGTCAATAATTACCAGTTCTTACCCAAAATGCTTTTTTATCTACTAGACCACGCTGGATTCAGATAGTGATATGTCAAAGTAGGTACATTTCAACTCCTTCTTTGTACAAATAGTGTAGACTACAAAAAGGCGAGATTTGCAAAATTTTTTTTATTAGTACGAAAGCCTTCGAAGTAAACAGAATGTAATTAAAACTATATATTATATGCGTTGCCGGCCTATCAAATTAATTCTTAACAATCAAATTTTCATATTTAGATATATATATAAGTGAACACTGAAAAATCAACAAATGTTGCATTTAGCCTAAGAGAGCTACTCTTGAATTAAATGCCGTAACAATTCTATCATTCAACAGTTTGGAATACCTTAGCACCCACATCAACAAAAGAATAACTTGAAAAAAGCATATACAGTCAAAAGATCAACAACTTAATGTGAAACCAAAGAAAACAAGAAAATATACTGGCTTTTAGAAACAAAATTCAAGCTTAGTCTGAAGAAAAAAGTTTTACTCTAGAAAGTCATTCTACAGCCAGCATAAACGTATGAGATCTTGCTATAGGAAACGTCCAGCAATTCTAACGTAGAAATATTACGGAGATGGCATTCTAAAGCCTTAAGACTAATCACAAAAGCTCCTTGGCTTATGAGCAATCACGGTTGATATGCAGATCTCGACGGCCTGAAACTTGAAGACAATATTAAACGCTTTAGCATTAATTATCTGCACTCTCACACCAAGTATTAGACTTGCCCTTCTTATTGACACGTGACTGGTTATTTTTAAAGTATACTGAAAGTCTGCAGTGAAAAATTAAACGATCTTATATTCGTTAAGCTCACTGAAACCAACCTACTATGTTATATTACTGTGTTTATACTGTGTTCGTTTTATCAAAAGGAAAAAAGCAGCAGAAACCCCACAAAGTATATATTTTCTTGATCTGCATCAAATTTTAAATCGATTTAAACATTTCCGTCTGTCCGTCTGTGTAATGTCTGTTACAAACATTCTCCTGGCCGTTAAAATGAAGCTATCAACTTCAAATTTGGCAGAAACATTGGAAATTCCTGTACCCAGGATGGTATTAGAGATGAGCCAAATCGGCCAAGTAGATAGCAAATAAAGACATTACGAACAAAAAAAAAACAAATACGTATCATATGCTTATAAAGAAAAATTTAGGGTACTAGAAATTCGATTCAGATTGACTTGGATTTCTTTTTTCTTCCTACAGTGTAAATTAGCTGAACCATCTTCGAACCGTTTATTTTTAAGTTATGAGTTGACAAACCTTCCAACAAGTGACTTCCTTTTGACAAAAACCTTACCTTAAGAACGCATATATTCTTTGCTATAATCCAACAGAGGCAAGCAAGCAGTTAGTATTAGATCATTCGAAAATAATTTATGCTCCTTCATTTTGCATCATGGATACTTCACAAACCGTCAACTGTAAGTTTCTTTATCCGTAGTTGTGGCATTTTTCAAAAAAAAACTTTGATAGCTTACTAGAACCGAAAATATTTTACTTGTGCTCAAATGATTACTTAGTAAATATAAATATTCGAAGCAATAAAACGTATGCTTGAAGTACTTTCACAGACGATAAAAGAAAACTGAGAATTAGTAATAGCAACAAACAAATTGAAAGGTAGGAAGATGCTACCAAGCAAAGGAATAAATAAAGTTATTTTGTTTTATGATCCATTTACCTTGCAGCTGCATCGATGGTCAGCAAATCTAATAAAGACGCGCGTATGCAAAATTGTATATAATAAAAAATAAATACTGGTAAAGACACTCCCATTTCTCTAACTGCTATGTTTACAAAGATAATGTATTGGCAAAATTATCTTAAGAACCCTGTTCGATATGCACTGCAAGCCAATCGAAATGCACGTGTGAAATTATGCTAAGCAAAGCAAAGAATATTGCCGTCGTGCAACGACACTCCAAAGCAACAAGCGAGAGATTTTTCGTAATTACTTTTAAAAATTTTTTAAATTTGACAGGGTCGATAACAAACAGTTGGCAAATGTGAATGGAAGAAGTTCCGCGGGTGAGACATGTAAATGCTTCTGTGTTAATGCGTTGCCACCTCCTTTTCTCATTTGTTCGCGACAATTACTTGGTTAAACAACGACTGAAGTCATTCCGTCTAAGCAAAAGTTGTCGAAAAGTGTTCTCAAGTAATTTTGTAATTTACAAAAACTATATGCGCATACATCTGCACCACATGTACATATGTGCACACATGTATACAAATACGCAATTGTTGTGATTTAGTGCACAGCAATGAAGAAAATCATAGTTGAAGCAAGAGGGGGAATATAATCTTAGTTGGTTAGGTTCATATAATCATTATCGACAACATTGTCCGAAAAGTTACAACATATGATTTGGAAAGGTTCATTGGTTTCTATCATGCGAGAGAATTTTGTAGGAATTGTTGGAATTGTAGGAAAGCCGCAAGAACGTGAGGTAGACCCACGATTTATTATACCGTTTGATTCAGAATCAGCTTCTAGGCTTGCCTGATTGTTTGTCTGCCCATTTGACGTTTGCCCATATTTTCCCGTGTTTAATTTGCGGGACGAAATTCTTAACCAGCGTGTTTCGGCTCAAGGACAAATGCTATTTGAATAACTCGAATCGGACAACTTTTTCGACCGCATTAGTTATTTTAAAAAGTCGTACAAATCGAAATGGTGCAAGATATTTGGTAGCGGGCCGTAATGGCACATAACGATTTTGCTTGTTTTAATATAAGGCTAGTTAAGATGATTTAGTTATTCTAAATATTTTGGTCCTTTTGAAAAAAATAAGTAAATAATTTTCAACTATTCTGGGATATAAAAATTAATGAAGATATACTTTTATATTTTCCAATTAAAATTTTGATTAATATATGTTAGACGAATTTTTCGGTAGGATCGCCACTACCTATTATGCTATACTCAGTTTTTGTTTGTCTTATTGCATCAGGATCGAAAAAATTATCGCTTCGAAATTGAGTATTATCGTAATCACTACTTGTATCTCTGGCAGCTGGAGCCAAATAGTTTTCACGTACTTCTGTAGTCATTCCAGAATTGGGCACACGTTGAGTTTGATTAATAAATTCGCAACGTCGCTTTTCGCATTCGATTGATGGCATTTTATCACATAACCGAGCGGGTTCGCCATTAGTCGCGTGTTTAGTGCTACATTCGAAATTTTTCCAATTCCAAAATGTTATATTATCGTGGGCAGCTATACCGTTCATTATGTCATTAGGAGATCGATAACAGTAATCCAAACGTTGTGTGGTCGCTTGTGTGTCCAAATATTTTCCATAACCGGATTTATTGTACTCGACAGTAACAGGAGTATTAGCAACTGCAGCTTGCATTGGCATAGTGACGTATGACCCTTTTGGCTGATCCGGCTCCCATAAAAAATCAGAATGAGTTACACTTGAAGGGGGCAACGTCTTTTGGGTAAGAAATTTTATTTTCTTTTCATAGAATGGTTTAAAGTGTTGACTTGGCTTTGCTAAAGACGGATTAACCTGGGCAAGTGGATCACGAGTTTTCCATACGTAGTTTTCTTTATAATCACTAACACGATGGCGTTGCAAGATCGCATCATCGACGAAAAGACGCGATTCCAAACATTTAGTGTCGCTCATTGCATCATTTATGTATTTGTTACCTCAATAGATAAAGATACAAAATTGCCCGTCCAGCCGAATGCGAAACTCTCGTGGCACGTGTAAATTTGAATTTTGTTGCGAAATTAATAAATACTTAAAAAAAATCATATATAAAAATAATTTATAAAAGTATAAAAATTATTTATACAAAATACGAATAAGCTGCCGTCCGGTGTATAATAAATTTTGACATTGCCATGATGATGAGTAAATAAATAGAACTTCGAAGGCGCGACGGTTGCTAGGAGCTTTTCGTTATAATTTCCTACCATTTTTCTTCCGCACAGCTGTAATAAGAAGTAATCAAAAACGGGTAAGACATAAACTGAACGAAAGTCATAGGTTTTCGTTGACGATGGGCAAAACATTATTTATGTTCGATATTTGAGTTCATTTGTTGCATAGGATTTCGAAGAGGAAGGCATCTTTCGACGAATACGAATTGTCGAATCTTATACTAATTTAGCCGATTTTTTAAATTCATCTGAGGATAAGACAAAGGAATATTTAAGATTAATGTAAATCTCGGAAAGCAAAGTTTCGCATTCTTACCTAACGAACATAAAGGGTTAATTGCGACTGTAACTGTGAACGAGGAAAGTGATGATGAAACATAAGAAACAAGGGTGAAGGGAATATATTAGACAAATCGAGCAAGTATACAATATAATTTCCTCAAAAATTTTTCGCTCCAACTACAGCTCCTATGATGATATGTGTTCGCTCTCAAGTCAAGTATGGGATGGCGACATAAGAAGTACAGTCAAACCTGTTTTTGTGCGGTGTTTTTTTATGCGCTTTTTTTTGTGCGATTCTTTTTGTGCGAATCTTTTTTTTGTGCGATTCTGTTTGTGCGATTTTTTTTTGTGCGGTATATGAATATCGACACATTGAATTTCGCCGAAAGGTTAGATCAATCTGAACTGTGTTGGCATCACTTTTTTTGCTATCAGTGTATATGTACACATTGCAACAGATATTTAAAATTCGTGCTGGAAAGCGGTCTGGCCTGAATGTGTCATTAATAGAAATGTAACCGACAACACGTCCACTTTATCATCAGATATCATTGCGCTAGCACATCAAATCTGCGGAGAAGGTTTTGATTCTTTCAGCGAAAATGATCTTATTGAAATGATTGAGGACGAAACCGTAAATGATAGTGACATTATCAATAACTTAACAGATCATGAAGACGGACAAGAAGAACCGGAATCTATTACAGCGGATAAAATATATGCAGGGATCCAGCTTTGCAGCAAATTGGAAAAGCATTTTCTTAAAATAGATAACAATTCTCAAAGAAGTTTGAAATTCCAAAAAGAGCTTCGATTGTGTATATCTGGCTATCGCGACGTTTACAAACAGCTGACCAAACGACCGTCGTCGCAAAAACTTATCACCGACTACATGTTAACAAAAAATAAATCAACTGTAGTATCTTCAAGTGACGAAAGCGATTACGAACCAGTTCATCGCAAAAATATGCGCGTTTTGAACTACGACGAGTAGTACATATTGAATTATGTACATTTTGAAAATTTCTCCTTGTTTAAAATTAGAAATTAAAATTTTTTTAAATGTTTCAATGTGTAATTTAATTATTTATTTTGTTTGGAAAGCACTTTCTTGCTATTTCGTAAAGCTTTAACATATTTACTAAGTGAGACTTTTTTTATGCGGTCCCTCTCTACCGCATAAAAAAATTTTTCTTTAATATGCTGTGAAAAATTATTTCTTATAGCTATTTATGAAGTTTTTGAATATTTTTTTTGTTCGGTTTTTTTTCTGCGGTCCCTATCTACCGCACAAAAACAGGTTTGCCTGTACACATTTTTTATAAGTTATCGCGTGAATTTTTATCTTCAGACTCCCGTTGAATTTAACACTTCTGTTCACGTGTCGCAATTGCCCAAATTTGTTACAAAAATGATAAATTCGTAGAGGCCAGGTTTCTTACAGGTTAGATGTAGCTTGCAGTCGGTCAAACGACTTCATCAACAGGAAAAATTGTTGCTTAGAGAGTAAATAAGATTCAACTGCTCTTCCTAAAAGACTTGAATGTCCAGAAAAATTAGCGTAGGGCGTAGCTTGTGGGCTGATTACCCTAACTAGAGAAGGCTAGAGAAATGTGATTACTAATTTTTGTGTGATACCAATTATATGATATCGACTTGAACGATTTGGTTTCAACAAAATGGAGCACTATGCCATATATCTCGAGACACAATCAGCTCATTTACAGAAATGTGAAATGAATGTGTGGTCTATGGTGGGGTCATCAATTTCTTTGCCTGTGTGAAGAATCCAGAATGACTCGATATAGACGCATCACATAATATGCAAAGTCTTATGATGAAACTTGGTCCAAAATAGTGATACGACATTAACGTTTATCGTGTTGAGTGTGGCCCGCACGCGTTTGTATACTTGCAACAGAATGCAATTGTTAGTATCCTATGATGAAAATAAGTGAAAAATAATAAATCCTTTGGTAAAATATATTAACTTTATCATTGTAAAAGCACTTCGATTCACAGTCTGGGCCTAAGTCCACGCAAGCGTCCTTATCAAAGGCAAGCATTAGTATGATAGCAAGATATAATTTTTGCTAATTTATGACAAAAATTAAGTGAGAATTGATAAGAGTCCAAACGTGCTAATGTGGTATATAATGATCAGACTTGTCTAGATATAGAGTTTTTACTTGTTTCTTGTGAATTATGCTGCCATCAAATAACATCGTTGGTCGAGGCCTCGACCTGATTTTATCTATCCTTAAGGCTTTCCTTCTCCATAGAAAAAAAAGAACTTGCATTCAATCAAGAGTTTATATTGCTCCCTGTTTTTAATCTGTTATAGACTTTAATATATTTTCAATTACTTCTCTTCACTTGCTTGTCTTCTTATGATTTATCTCTAAGGCATCTTCATTTCACATCCTGCTGTTCAAGCACTTTATTATATTTATATATTTATATATTTATATGTATATAAGAGGCTACCATACATAGAACGCAACATGATTAGTTAATAATGTTTTGCTATCTTTAACAAATTTGCAATGCAAAGCAGTGTAAATACATAATCTAGGTTTCTAATCAAACAATGTAAAGCCGACTCAGTTGGAAGTTAACAATAAACAAACTTATACACATGTTTATATGTAACTAATGCTTCGAAATCAGCAAAGCCCATTTAAGGAATAAGGTAAATACATAAACACATACAGTGTAGAAATGTTTACAGCATTTTGGTGGGGATTACAACAAGCAACGCATGCTGTGCGTAATATGATTGTTATTGAACGATTCTTTAGCCAACCGTTTGGTGCAAACGCTATGGGTAGTTCAAGCCGCTTTTATACTTGACGTAATCCAGTCAAATAATGAAGTAGATGTTTTACGCTTTTTTTTTCCTATTTTTGATCAAAAATCATCCAGTGTAGATCAATGTCAAATGTTGGATGTTTTGGATCCTTATTTTTATACCCTACAGCACTTACGATAGAGATCTAGAAATTATTAAAATCTTTGACAAGTAAGTTGAGTTTACTAAATTTGGCCAACATTAGTTGACATCTTGAGAATCCTGCAATACGAGGCCTTTCATGGCAATTATATCTTCACCCAAAAATAATGCAAAATTTTTAAGGTAATATCACGCAAATGAAGAATGTCTGTACTAAGGAAAATGAAGAGTGCCTGCATTAAGCGAAGCAGTGTAAGGTGTCTATCAGTCGATCTTGCACAACTATAGTGTTCAGACTTGTTTACATTTTTAATTATGAATAGTGAGTAAATTTGTACACGTCTCTTCTCACTTAAATTCTAGCAAAGAAACCTTTTATTAGCCAGTACACACATTCTGTTCTTCTAAGCTTTAATTTTCTGCAGTATTTTAATTTGCTTTCACATATTTAATTACTTAAGTTTAAAGGTTCAAAAAGATGTCTTAGTGATAGTCGGTCCGATTAACTTCCATCACAGTCACACAATAATGACAATAAAATAATTTCATTTTATTTTATGCCAAGGAAAGAAATAATTCTAGTGCAGCTAAGCGAAAATACATAAACTTATATATAGATTCAATAAAATTGAAAAACAATGCTAAAAAAGGAGGTCGGTGGAAAGTCTTATGGTCGGCGCAACAGTAATAGCCGAATTTTGAAATTTCCTTTTCAATGAAATCGACAGCATGAGCTATATAAGCCTTTCATAGAAATAAACTGAAATTTTTGGATGTTTCCTAGCTAGTAAGTGCCACGGATCTGTTTACAAGCAATTCACTCTCACTTTTTATTTTGGTCAGTAAACAAACATTGAAAACGTATGCGCTACAAGTTTCACCTTCGACTTCCAGTTAATGACGGAAGAAGGGCAGACTTACACTCTTTCACTCACCCGAAAACTATTATATTTTGCAGATGCTGCCAACGGTGTCTAATAAATTTAGGTCAACTGACATTCATGAGTAGGTAAGCAAGAACCACTGTTGCTCATGCCATTGTTTCTTGAGTAGAAGTTTGAAAATCATAATAACATTTATTCGATTGATCACTGGTGTTAAGTGAAAATTGTTGTAAATTTCTTGGTATTAACTCTTAGCAAAGATTTATCGCCATTAGTGCTACTACGATAATGACTTTTTGTTTTCCCTTAAGGAATTCTAATACTATTGGGAAAACAAACAATATTTAGTAAAATTGTAAAATTCTTACTTTGATCTTCGAGGGGGGGAAAAAGTGTATAAATTTTAACGAAAACACTAGCAATCTCAAGTATTTCCATAAAATAAAATATTGACTTGTATGGTGTTGTCATCTTTACAGGATAATCGCCGCTTAAACATAACATTTAGTGTTTGAAGAGGACAATGAAAAAACATAAAATTTATTGCCTGCTATTGCTTTTAAAAATTGTTACAAAAAATTCCTTAACTGTCACCTTTCTTTACTTTAATTATACCCTTTT